TCTCAACATCAACAGTAGTTGATGGTCCTAATAGAGGTCAAAGGTCAGTATATACACACAGTATTATCACTTACTAGCTCCTCCAGTGGATGATACTGACGTTGAGTCATGTACTACATTAGAGGAGGAGGAGAAGGTAGTAGGATCTGATTAATATTAAATAAATAAACAATTTAAAAACCATATGCATTACTTGCTGATACAGTTCTCAATGTTCTATGAATATACAATGTAACAGGTTCAACCACACCCACCAGTGGTACTGAGTAATGTAGTGTAGGAACAGCATCAGGTGAACCATATACTGATACCAGACAAGAGGAAGGAATAGGATAATTACTATTACCAAATTTGTCAATATCAAAGCGATACAACTATTCCAATAAAAATTAAATAATAATTTGACCAATATTGGAGTGGCCTTACTCTACATGGTCCAAAATGTGATTGTATAGTCCAACCATTAAATGGATACTTCTGTGGAGTATGATCAAGTTTCAACTCAATGTAATCACTTGAAGGCAGAAAACTAAAGAGGACACTTTGTCCCATTTCTGCATGAGAATGTTGCTTTTCAATGTACTATAAAGCAAAACAACCAATAATATTAATGCACTAGCACTCATACTGATATGCTTATAGATCTACCTCAAGGAAAGCATTCAGATATTTAGCTGCAGTAAAAGTCACTAGATCCTCTACACGTTTACCTTCATAATGCCTTATTATGATATATTTTGTGTGATCTGCTATAATTGTATTATAAACACCTACGTGTGCAGCTGCTATAAAATATTACATATTATTTTTATTCACTAACCTGTATATGAAATACATATACCTAAAATACACACCAAACAGTACTCTTTACGATCAATGGATCCATACCCACTATTAGAGCTAAACTCTCCTCCCTCAACTATGGAGAAATGGTAAGAAAGACTGGGTGTGCTCACGGGAGCTATAGCAAATTTTAAATATTGTGCAAGATCTGGTCGTCCTGTTAAATCAATGCAGTGCTGTATCTCTAACTTGAGTCGTTTGAGGAGAGGCTTTGAGAGTGATACTGCATACACAGCACTCACTAGGACAGTATTAGGAGGAAACTGGAACTGTCCTCCTACAAGAGCAACCACTGCTGCTTCTACAGTATCAGTGGGTGATAAGGTATCTTCTTGTACTCCAATCCTTAGACCATATTTCTCCCAATTCATCAGTTGAGGTCTGTCTCCTTGAATTAAGAACAGCTTCCTCTCTGCTACCTGGACATCACTCAGACAATCCAAATTATCTATCAATTGTATAAAATACAGTCACTCAGTCAGTCAATAATACTCTTACCCATTGAAGGGATCAGGTAGTTAAATTGTAGTCCAATGGAATAAGTCTCTTTGCTTTTCTCTTGTCTTTCCTTCCATAGTTTGGCTATGTACAAATCCTTTTCTTTAAGTCCTTTAAATTAATAGTATATTAATAATTATTATTGATTGACAATGATACACTAACCCCTAATGATCTGTTCCTCATTCTGTGATTGTTCCTCTACTTGTGATGTCAGTTTTGCTATAACTTTGTCTTTCTCAGCAATGAGATTTTGATTGTCGTCTAAATAATAAAATATATTTTCTAATCTAATACTGAACAGCAGCCAGCAGGAAATTTTGTATGCTTGGCAAAATTGGCATCATGACATCTTAACAGCCATTTGTCAAATTAAAATTATGTATTTATGCATTAATTATGTATTAATGTTTATGTATCATGTATCCATTATGTGCATGCTCAATGGCACATGCACATGCCACAAATTTGCCAAATTAAAACCAAAATTTAGCAATTCACAAAAACTTAGTCCCTCCAAATTTACTGCTGTATGGTACATGTTGTGTGTAC